ACACAATTTGTCTTTAAAATGACACGTTTTTGTCCATAGATCTCTTGTCTGCGGCTATGGACAAACATTTTGTTGCTAGTTTAAGGTACAGAAAAGAGTTCCTTTACATTTAGAGTGTGAGGCAGCCTGAATTGATGCTCAACATGGCGGCAAGCTTGGCCGAGTCAGGTTAGAACGAATGTGGCACAATATTACAACGAACATGGCACGAATCACATTACAACGAATGTGACGTCTCATTCCCCGTATAGCCAGTGATAACCCGTATTTTATTATTTTGAGAGGAACGCCCTTTCAAAGAATGACAGAGCCAATGAGATTTCCTCTCAAATGTTTACACTTTTTTCACATTTTACTCAGAAAGGTGCAGGAAGTACACACAAAAAAAACAAAACAGACACGACTCTGTATTAACACAGTGCAAAACCATGACCACAATCTCTTGCTGAGCAAATTACGACATTGCGACGACGCCTAAAACGCTGGTGGGTCGACAGCGTCACATGCGCTGCACTGCACGCTGACACGTGCGTTCGGTAAAAAGTTACAGTACAGGCTGCGTTTCTGCTTGACGCACTCCTCCTCGTCGTGCCGGCAGAAGTAGTCGGTGGTGCGGCGGACAAGCACCAGGCGGCTGAGCGCGCGGAACCCGCAGCGACGCAGCTCCACGGCCAGGTCCGTGCAGCCGTACGGGTCCTTGGACGCGGCCACTAGGTGCAGCTCTTCGAGAGATGCAGCGTGTGCGCTCGCCAGGGCCAGCGCGGTTCTCAGCGGGTACAGGCCGACGCGCAGCCAGCGCAGACCATCGGCACCGTCAGCGGGCGAGGCAAACTCCAGGCCAGACAGCTCGTGCAACTCCTTATGGTTTGAGTACACCTCAAGCCTGCGGAGTTGCCGCATACGTGCGACCTGGAGCATGAAAAATATTAGTGTCATATAGTTACTATTAAACTGATAAAACTGCCCAACACGGAAGAAAATCAGTGCCTGATTTTCTGAGGTAAAAGGCACAACTTTGGGAAGCTCCCATAGGCTATTCGGAAAAAAAACGTCCTGATCATGAGACAATCTCAAAAAATTAAGGTTATGTCACCACATTTCACTGATTCACAATGTGTGCAATGGTTAATACTTGTATAAATGTGCAAATAAATGCATGTTTAATACTTGCAAGTGTGCAACTCCGTTGTTGTGCACTTGCAAGTGTGCAACTCCGTTGTTGTGCACTTGCAAGTGTTTAACTCGCTGGGTGTGCACTTGCAAGTGTCGTGCAACTCCTCTGTTAAGCACTTCTACCCTAGTAACACAAAACTGCCGTCTGTAATTTTCTTTCAGTCGGCAAAGGGGACTTAAGAAAGTGTAAATTCCCGATCTTGACCAAACTCGGTATATTTGTTTCCTATCCATGTTGATGACGACTGCCGGTACAATTTTTTCCCGATTGCCAATTTCTAGGGTACATTAGGACAAACATTGGAAAAAATATTGAATTTAGGCTACAAATGACTGAAGGAGGTATTAAATCGACACCGCCCAAAACCGCTCATTTCTAGTCAGAAAATAACTTTATATTTGTAAGAAAGTAGAAATTTGTATGTTTCGAAATTATACGCTATTGTAGGGAGTTCCGGCATATGACAAGAAAAAATTTGGTCGGAATTCGTCACCTATACATAGATGAGAAGCAATTATACCGAGTTTGGGCACAATCGGGAATTGACACTTGCCTAAGCCCCTTTGTAAGCATTGTGGCGATAACGAAAATCCGAATGGCTTTTCGGCAGTCAGTCGATTAATGCTGGTTCCTTTAAATTCAAACTATCTACCATTCTGGTGTATTTTTATCGATCCCTAGTCGAATCCACATAGTGGGTTTTCGCTTCCATTACGAAAGCTCGCCGGTACAGATTTTCGTTCCGAGGAAAAAAGGTATTAAACAATAGAATATTTTTTCTCATTTCAAATATCGCACCGATACTCGTACGACAGTTCTGAGCTACTAGGGTACACTAAAAGTTACTCCATGTAACAACAAGTATGTGTGCGTGTGTAACAGTTGTTACATTCATAATTTTACGTTACCGTTGTTACACAAAGTGGTATACGTAACAAATGTTGCATAAACTAAAAAGTGTAACAGCTGTTACACTGCCCGTTATGCTCGGGACGCATAGCTCTATAGTTACAATCAACAAAAATAATTTTGTTATACAAAGTTTTTGTGTAACACCTGTTACCGCAAGTAATTTGCATAAAACTGTTACGTAAAAAAATTGTATAAGCGATGTTACACATGCACACGAACGTAACGAATAGCTTTTTATCATGTTACATGAAGTGATTTTCAGTGGTACACAGGTACACAGTGATCGTCAAATAAAAGGAAGTGCTCAACTGAGGACTTACACATTTATTGCAAGTGCACAGTTATTAAGGAGTTCCACACTTACAAGTAATCGACTTGCAGTTGCACACTGTCATGTGTGAAGCAGTTGCACACTTAGTGTACCAGTGTTTTTGAGGAGACTCCCAGGGCGTCGTAACGTAACGCGTAACGGAGAGCGTTACAAGCCTTCTTTGAAGTACGCTCCAATAACGCAATAACGCATTGAAACATTGCAAATTTATTTTTGTTCTTTTTCCTTTCGCGTTTTTGTTGCGTTCCGACGCCTGCTTATTACCATAGGTTCTGCCTGTACTAAATCTGATTCTTACTTCAAATACTGACTGCACTCGTGCCCATTTTCTTTTTCTTTTTATTTCGGGCTGGGCAATTCTAGGCGTTACGCACGGACATTCGTAAGCAAAGTTTGGGAAGGGAAGATCGAAGCGAATCGCATCGACGAAAAACTTGTTTTGAAGTGCATTTGGAGAGGTATCCGATGATATGTGTACGGTTGCTCTGCGATGATCCGTTTAGATTTTATAAACAAGTGAAGAGGCCGTTACGCACGGACAAAAAACGGAAGTCGTTTTGCACATGGCCCTAGTTCTGCCCTAAACTCTGCGAATTGAGAGGTCTTAAAAATACAGACAGAGCAGGGGCGGGTAGCCTAGAGATGTCTCTCCAAGGCAGCATTTGCACGGTCGCCATATTCTAACCCGTTCGCGCTCTACAAGGGAAAAACCAGCGTTACGCACGGACGCGAGGAGCGTTACGCACGGACACGTACGGTAATGGCTTTAGCACACTTTGGACACTCATATCTCAGCATCCGAAGCGAGATGAGCGTCTGCCCTTTGGACAGGCCATAGTCACAGCCACTGTTGCAATTTTCCAAAAGAAATAATGACGCCACCTCATACCCATCCCCTGCAATTGAGGTGCAAAGTTCACTCTAAATGTAAAAGAACAATTTTGTCCATAACGAGGGAACAGATTTTCAAGTTACAAAATTGTTTCGTTAGAGAGGACAAATTTCAATTTTGTTCTATCCTCATGGACAAACTTATTTCCTGTTTCGTGGACAAGACATTTGTCCCAGCGAGTGGACGTTTAAATCCGTCCCCTTTTTCGCAACAAATTCGTTTCCAAGGAGGGGACAATTTGTTCAAGGAACATTTTGTCCCTTCCAATGACACAATTTGTCTTTAAAATGACACGTTTTTGTCCATAGATCTCTTGTCTGCGGCTATGGACAAACATTTTGTTGCTAGTTTAAGGTACAGAAAAAAGTTCCTTTACATTTAGAGTGTTGACCTCTCGCCATTAATAGTAAGATGCATACAGGTTGGTCCACAGACCCTTTCCTTCATTTTGCTTATACTGTACCGCATCCAAGCGGGCTTGCCTACCGTCGTCCACCACGGCGCCTTATGGCCCCGTCCGGGTATGCAACCCGGCCGGACCCGGACGCCTGCATCCGGTACAATATAAGCAAAATAAAGGGAGGGACGAGGGGTCGCCCACTCTCCTGAGCTGTGTACGGAGTATTATATATTATGGGTATTATGAGTATTATGAATATTATGGGTATTATGGATATTATGAATAGTATGGGTTATGGGTATTATGA